GGGTTGTATGAGCTAGTTTCATGTTACCAATATGATCACTTGTTGGGTTTATATGAACTGGTTCCAAGTTATCAACAAAATACAAGCTAGTTTCATGTTACCAGTGTGATCACTTGTTAGGTGTATATGAACTAGTTTCATGTTACCAGCATGATCACTTGTTGGGTGTATATGACTTAGTTTCATGTTACAAGCATGATCACTTGTTGGGTGTATATGAACTAGTTTCACGTTACAAGTATGATCACTTGTTGAGTTTATATGACCTAGTTTCATGTTACCAGTGTGGTCACTTGTTGGGTTTATATGAACTAGTTTCATGTTACCAGTGTGGTCACTTGTTGGGTTTATATGAACTAGTTTCATGTTACCAGTATGATCACTTGTTGTATGTATATGAACTAGTTTCATGTTACCAGTATGATCACTTGTTGGATGTATATGAACTAGTTTTGTGTTTCCAGTGTGATTACTTGTTGGGGTTGTATGAGCTAGTTTCATGTTACCAATATGATCACTTGTTGGGTTTATATGAGCTCATTTCATGTTACCAGTATGATCACTTGTTGGATTTATATGTGCTAGTTTCATGTTACCAATATGATCACTTGTTGGGTTTATATGTGCTAGTTTCATGTTACCAATATGATCACTTGTTGGGTTTATATGAACTAGTTCCAAGTTATCATCAAAATACAAGCTAGTTTCATGTTATCAATATGATCACTTGTTGTGTTTATATGAGCTAGTTTCATGTTACCAATATGATCACTTGTTGGGTTTATATGAGCTAGTTTCATGTTACCAATATGATCACTTGTTGGGTTTATATGAGCTAGTTTCATGTTACCAGCATGTTCACTTGTTGGGTGTATATGAACTAGTTTCACGTTACAAGTATGATCACTTGTTGGGTTTATATGAACTAGTTTCATGTTACCAGCATGATCACTTGTTGGGTGTATATGAACTAGTTTTACGTTACAAGTATGATCACTTGTTGGGTTTATATGAACTAGTTTCATGTTACCAGCATGATCACTTGTTGGGTGTATATGAACTAGTTTTACGTTACAAGTATGATCACTTGT